TAAATCATTAACAAAATCTTCCCTTGCGTAAACAACATTATTGTGTTTTTTAGCAGGGATATTACCAGGTCTTTTAGTAATGATAACTTTTGATGGGTAAATGAGTTTCATTGATTTCAAAAACTCTTTATAATTAGTTCTTAAAACTCTAAGAATTTCTAAATCAATAGTAACTATAACAACCTTTGGTAGATCAGGAGTGGTATCATACTCGGTTACAGAAACATTGTTGATAAGTTTTTTAAGCTCTGGTTTTGTAACCAATTGGGATTTAATACATTTTTTTATTACTTCAGAAATTCTTTCAGTATTTCTCTCTGACATTGAAGGGTAAAAATTTTTATAAAAAATTGAAGAAATTTTATTTGTCTACAATTCAATCACTAGAAGTTACATGCTTTGCGAGAGTTTTAAAGAATTTTTCATAATCAATTCTTTGAGTTCTTATTGCGTTGGATCCACCAGGATTGACGTAAGTTAATAAAACACGTTCTTTACTTTTACCTGCTGCAGTTTCATTATACTGTGGGGTAGGTAAACGTTCTTCCTTTAAGGTACCAGCATACACTTTTGCTGATTCTAGTGATTCTTTAAAGAATGAAAATTCTGGTTTATCCTGTAAATTTTGTTTAATCCATTCTTGAACATCTTGTCCATACCACAATAAAATATCATGGAAAGAATCTAATACTAACATTGATTGGGAATTTAAACTAGAAAGATCTAAAGGTACTTCATTGACTGATCCTTGGTAGTGAAACTGTACTAACATAGGCTTAATTAACTTGAGAGCATCTTCAATACTCAACTTATACAATAAATATTTAAAGTAAGCAAATTCATCAAATGAAATACCTTCAGACTGTACAACAACACTTCTTCTTAAAAAGAAAACAAATTTAACATACTCACTAAATGAGGGTGTAAATGTAACACTATCTGGATTATTCTTTGTATAATTAGCATATTTTCTAGTAAACTTTATAAGATGTTTATCAATTGATGTTTCTAAATCAAGTACTTGTTCAAAGTTTTTAGAAATTAACAACCTTGCCTGTAATATTGCTGATGCTTGCCAATCAAAGCTTGACATTTGATAATTAACATCATTTGTTAATAATCTACTAAATGATGTTACCTTAGTGACTATCGTTCTATCTGATTTATGGTAAGTTGTTATTATTTGAACATGTCCATAAGTATTAGGAATGCTTACATCGTT